GTAGGTCTAACAGTATTCAGGTACAGAAATTGAATAATCAAATGTAAAATAACACTGCATAGTCTTCACTGTATAAATTAAATCGAATAAATCCGTGTTAAAGCTCCAAAAGTGATTTTTCTCTGTGTTTTGTTGTTTGATTAACATTTAAGACACAGAAAGCAACAGGAGCATTAAACTGCTGTGAACCAATATACTGTTACACATCCGTTTTAAGCCATAAGCAACTGTGTTTAGGAGACATGCATGTTGACATCATTTCACACTTAAGTGTCATTTCAGGCACAAATAGATGAAGTGAAGGGAATTCGGTGTTCATGTGCATCTGCATGGCTCTGTGTGTGAGCACAGAAAACAGCGCGTGCTCATAATATCTCCAGTTGAACACTTACTGGACTGAAGCAGCTCAGCTTTACTTGATTCTCCATCAATCATGTTTTAGAGTCTCAAATCTGATCCTCAGGATCTTTTGAGGAGCGTTTGTTTCCAGAAGCTTTACTTTCACTGTTCCTCAGCGGAGGAATGATCTTCACAAGCCTCCAGAACATCTCACATCTGAGGAGGAGCCTTTATTTCTTCAGCTCTCAATCAGCACTGGATTGCATCGCATTATATGTTTGGATCTTTGAAATATCATCTTACTAAGACATATTACTTGAGATATTACTCATTTTATGTAAGTATCTGCTGTAGTGTTATAAAGATCTGATTGATTTACATTACAAGCATCAGAATTGCATCACTTTTTGTCCATATAAATATCAGCATCTGTACCAAATTGCATATTTTTGCTCAGTTTGACTCCATATTCTCACTATATCAGACTACATTATTTATGAGCCATAAAAGCCTGATGTATACTCAACAGAAACGCATGCATCTTTTATAGGTTGTCTAAAGGTCACTAAACTGTTCTGTTTAAAAAAAAAAAAAAACATTAAACTAAAGCAAAGCTTCCAAGCTTTCAGCAACACATCAGCTTCTTTATTTATATAACAGGCCGTTCAAAATGCCAAAATAACTGCTGACTATTTGTTTCAGTGCACTATGACCAGATCAGCATGTGTTACTCGTCTAATATCAGAGTTACACGGATATGCAACCAAGCAGGGAAGAGTGGGGGCAAGTTGTCACAATTTAAGCAACCTATAAATGCACAAAAGCAGATGCACACTTTTGACCTGACAACTATCCCTATGCATTTAGGCAACATGTTAAACTACACAAAAGCAAAACTGATCTGCATCACATTTTGATGTTTAAACAGACAGGAATGGAAAGATCTGTTCACATCCCATAAGAACAGTGCTTTTTTTGGGATGTGCTCGCTTTGTTCTGCATCGAGGCTGCTGGGACAAGTCACATTCTTGGCAGAGAAACAAATACGCTGCATCTAACTAGGGGCCTCTGTGTTCAATGGCCTATTTAGACGCCAGAGCCGCAGATTATATAGAAAAACACGACTGGCAGCTCTGAATCTGGCCAGTAGCGCTTCAATCCGGGACATCAAATCAGTGTAAAGCATCGAACGCCGGGGATAAAATGCAGAAATGTGTTTTAAAGCGGTTTGAAATCTTGCAGTTGCGATTTAAAACACGAAAGGGTGTTTGTAAAACAAATGTGGAGATATTTCTCTCTCTCTCATCAGCAGCTCGGAGCGACGGTCACACACATATATATAAACAAACCCAAAGAATGCGGAAAATACACTAGCGTTTATTCTACACTCAATTCCGAGCGATCAGAAATCAAAAATGCGAATACATACATGTATATATATGAAGGAAAGGAGTGAAATCCTACCGTTTAACGCGGCTGAGCTGCTCCGATCTAATCCCGACGGTTTAACGTGAGCGCCCACGTCACTTCCGCTTGCTCTGATCTGTGCACCTGCACGTTCTCACTGATACGGGTCCTCCAGGATGCTGAACGCGGAATATCTGACAGAGTGCGCGTATTATTGCGCTCACGCGTTCAATTTAGTTCTGCTCGACTGTCTGCACTGCTTTGGTACTGTGCACGCTGTATTGTCTATTATGGACGGGAAGTCCGATTCATTTGAGCGAACCGGTTCTTTCGAACAGTTCGTTTGAACGAACCGATTCAAATAACCAAATCAGTGATTCTTTTACGTCATCGCGTTGTCCCTGCGTCCCGCAAGTTTATTTTATTAGAAAGATCTGAAGTATTACTTGGAAACAATCAGTGTTGGGGGTAACGCATTACAAGTAACGCGAGTTACGTAATCAGATTACTTTTTTCAAGTAACTAGTAAAGTAACGCATTACTTTTTAATGTACAAGAGAATATCTGAGTTACTTTTTCAAATGAGTAACGCAAGTTACTTTTTTTTCTCCAATTTATTGATTGACAGCTCTCCTGTCCCCATGTTGAGAGAAATCAGATGTTACTGTAGTTATATGCATTAATTCATCTCACTCACACAAAAATAAACACAGATTCAGCATTCCTCAAAATGAATAAAAATAATGCAACTCAGAATATGACGCAAACCTGCAATAATTAAATGTTAAACAACACAAATATTCTTTATGTATTTAATCCCATTCTATTTGCTTCTGACCTTTATATAATGTAATTTATATTACCCCTGGCCCTGTATGTTTCTTGTTGTTGTTGTTTTTTTAAATTTCATTTTGTTTTGTGATTTTGTTGTTACTAGAGTTGTATATTTTTGTATACTTGTTGCTAATCCTAATAAAGGAAGGAAAAAAAACGGTTATTTTATTAGTGAGATTGATCAATTTTCCACTTCATTAGAGCCATGATTCGTCACATAATAAGTATCGTAATTATTATTAATAAGTATCGCTTTTTATTTCTCCTCTTTCCTACTACTTTTAGTTTTTATAACCATTTCTTACTATGTGTCAGTAAGTTGTTGTTTTTTAGTTTAGTTTAGTTTGGCTCAGTGTTATTTTGTAGGATTACTGAAACTCTTTTGATTTGTATTATTTGTATTTGTTATTTATTTAAATTTTAGTTCAATTATGTGTGAATTTATTATGTCTGTGTAGGTCTTTTATTAAGTTTTTAGTTTTATTTGAGTTATTTTAATACTTTAACAAACTAAATGGAAATGAAATAATATATATATTGAATTTATAAATTCTTTAAAAAAGCATCATATGACCCCTTTAATACTACAATTGATTGCTTCTGTTGTCCTCATTTGTAAGTCGCTTTGGATAAAAGCCTCAGATAAATGACTAAATAAAATAAAAAAATAAAAAATATATAAAACATAAAAACGACTTTAATACATCTTACATTAAAATAAGCAAAAACATTTTTTGCAAGCTATTTAATAACAAAATAATGATAATTAAAAACCAAACCAGGAAATACAGAACTCTCCACTATGTTCCCATTTGGTTATTTATTTAAAACGGAATAATAACCTAAATAGTGATTATTTTACGTCATCATGTCAAGTTAATTTTATTAGTAACGTTTACCAGTGTTTCACTTCATTACAATATATCTCGAATTTAAATAAAACTATTTTTTTTGCATGCTAAAACCATTTATTTATTTATATTATTTTATTTTATTTTTTGAGGGAACAATAAGAACATTCTGGAAACCAAAATCTGGGAACTCTGTTCGTCCCATCACCAAAATCCTCGGTTCAGTCATCACGAATCGGACACGTGTACCCGATTCAGTCTCATTCATGAAAGAATCGTTCAGACCGACAGACTCATTGAAAAGATCCGACTCAAAAGAACGATTCATTAGCGAATCGGACACCGCTCGTGTATTTTATTTTGTATGGTGCATTGCATACGTGTTGATTTACTGGCTTAACGCTCTCTGTCTGTCAATCATTTTGCGCGTTTGTTTTTTGCTTTAAAGGGCGGGGTTTGAGAAAGCGAAATTAAATAATAATAACAATAATAATAATAATAAAGAACATACAGCATATGTACTGTGAAGAAATATAAGCTAAGAAAATAAGGTAAGTGATCAGCTTGTAATCTTGACCCATTTAGGTTAGCCAACATATTAATTTTTCAAGAATGATATGGCTGCCATAGACACATGTAAAGTCATGTGTCACTTTTTTATGTAATTAAATTACAGCAAACCATTTTCACTTAATTATAACAAACTTGTAGAACTACAAATGTAAAAAAAACACTGCAATGCCAATATGCACAATATATTCATCATTCATCAAATAATTTGCTTTCAGTACTTTTTTATTCATGTCTTAACATTTTTAACAATGCAGATATCTATTTTAAACGTACTTAAAAACTTACATTGAGGACACTTCATTGTTTGCTTTGCATTTCTGCATTTCTTTCTAATATTTAAGGCATTGCATAATTGCTTGTAAAATGCAGGTTAATGTTCAGTTTGAAATAATATCATCAGAGGTATCTGCCTGCTGACATCCCATAATGCAGCGCTGCCTAATCTGCCATCTGGCCATTAAACCTTGTCAGCACTGTACATGAATCAATGGCATTTGCATTATTGTTACATGACGTGCTCAAATATGTACAGAAAATGCATTTGATTTTATTTTTTACACCATTTATTGGCTTATTTCTCTTGCATTGTTATTTTCACAAATGAATAAATAAGGCTCATCTGAAATGTATTGTTTAAAGCTTAAATATGCATATATTTATTTATTTGGTAAATAGCCTTGTAATAAGTGGGATAATGTACAGCCAACCGGTCATGATCTCAAAATAAACGTCTTTACTTCACTCTGCAAGAACGACTGGCTACCTCTACATTATTCCTTGCATAAAGTACAGTATATATGTCTGTGCACATATATGCAAACTAAAAGCTTGATTTTTGTTACCTGCATTTGTATTTTAAAATGCTCAACACCAACATTCAAATTCATATTGACCCAGATACAGAAACTTCTTTCCAAAATAACTAATAAATACAATAATGCATTATAAAATATATTCAAAGCACCGTATGTCTGGAGCTAACTGTATGGCTTATGGATTGTACAGAAATCTGCATGAAAGTGAACAACATATCTGGCACCATTGACAGCATCAAACAGAACTGCAATCTGAAAAACTATTTTGTTTGCTGCCGTTTGTTATGGAAGCCTGTTTCTGCCACAGGATAAAAGTCAGAATTGTGAGATGTAAATTCAGAAGTGCAAGATTGAGACAAAGTCAGAATTGCAAGATACAAACTCGGTTTGCAAGATCGGAAAAAAAGTAAAAATTGTGAAATATAAACTCAGAATTGCGAGATTGGGGGAATAAAAGAATTGTGAGAAAAAAATCTGAATTGCAAGATATAAACTCAGAATTGCGAGACTGAGGAAAAAAGTCAGAATTGCGAGAAATAAACTTGAAATTATAAAAAAGTCAGAATTGTGTGAAATAAACTTGAAAGTATAAAAAAAGTCAGAATTGCGAGAAATAAACTTGAAATTATAAAAAAAGTCAGAATTGTGTGAAATAAACTTGAAATTATAAGAAAGTCAGAATTGTGTGAAATAAACTCATAATTGTGAGATTGAGAAAAAAGTCAGAATTATGAGATGCAAATTTAGAATTGTGAGATATAAACTCAGAAAAGAGAGATTGAGAAAAAAATCTGAATTGCAAGATATAAACTCAGAATTGCGAGACTAAGGAAAAAAGTCAGAATTGCGAGAAATAAACTTGAAATTATAAAAAAAAGTCAGAATTGCAAGATATAAACTCAGAATTGAGAGATCGAAAAAAAAGTCAGAATTGCGAGAAATAAACTTGAAATTATAAAAAAAGTCAGAATTGCGAGAAATAAACTCAGAATTGTGAGATTGAGAAAAGTCAGAATTGCGAGAAATAAACTTGAAATTATAAAAAAAGTCAGAATTGCGAGAAATAAACTCAGAATTGTGAGATTGAGAAAAGTCAGAATTGCGAGAAATAAACTTGAAATTATAAAAAAAGTCAGAATTGCGAGAAATAAACTCAGAATTGTGAGATTGAGAAAAGTCAGAATTGCGAGAAATAAACTTGAAATTATAAAAAAAGTCAGAATTGCGAGAAATAAACT